CCTGTCCAAGCCGTGGGCTGCCAGCTCACCCAAAGATACTGTTACACAATTAATCAAAAAATAATATAATTTATTATGCAATTAATAAAAAAATTATAACAAGATAACATTACAGCATCATTATCAACAAGAAAGCAATAACCAACAGAAATCAGAATTCATGAGCTAAAGCATAAATCCAGGTGTTGAAAGAGCATTATCTTGAAAACACTCACTCACTTTTCCATCGAGAACTAAGTCTGTCTCAGAATTAGTAAATTTGAAAAATCGTGAAGGATTTGAATTCTGTACATAATCCCTTTCTCTTCAGCATGGCACTGTTCATTTGTTAAAGCAGTCAACATTCATTTTCAGTCTGCTGAAAAATTCCTGAGCACCAGAGGACAGCAGAGACAAAGCCTTGGAAAAAGCTACAGAAAACTCTTACCTTCTTGAGCTATAATTTTCCCAAAGCATTCAGATCATATTCCACTTTTTTTTTCTCCAAATAAACAATCCAGGATATAGATCAAAGAATCACTTTGGTTTTGTAGAGCTCAGGTAATGATACTTGAGCTTCTGTGGACATTGTGTAACTTCCAATACTGTAGTTAAGTTCAGTAGGTCTTAGGTTCTTGCAGGCTATCTGCTTATCTATAAGAACCCTTCTCCTCTGCTTAACAGCCACTTTGTCTTTTTTTCTTTTTTACAAGAATCTTCATGGACTTCTAAGGGGGGCTTATATGCTCTGTGAGAGCCAACAGGAGGTACATTTAAGTTTTTAATATGCGTTGGTTTATATACATATATAGAAATGAACTTTCAAATCTTCAGGCACTAAAAGGTAAAGGAAATAGGTAATTTCATCAAAGCAGCCATGGGTTTGAGAGGATCTCAGCAGGTTAGTTTCAGTGCAGTATACTTCTGTCCTGAATCTTTGTTTTGTTTTAGTAAAAATGTGCAGGGCAACATCTCTATATAGTGAAATTCAAGAATATAAGGGGCCACATGGAAAGAATAATGCCAGAAGAAAAAAACTAACTGCATAAAGGGAGTGAAAGAGAAATATTAGGCAGGAGCGGTATGGGATCAAACATGGTTCTAATAATGTTACAAATATCTACACTGACTGACATACAAAAGAGTGTGGTCATCAGTTTAACATTATAAATTACTGGGAACAAGACCTATAAGAATAGCTCTACATAAGGCTAGAAAAAGGAAGAAAAGGATAGATTGTGATTGTGATTCTTACTTCTAAATATGTGAGAAGTGCATCCCCAGCTCCTGCAGTGATAGCTCACCTGAAGCTGATTAGTTAAGTATGTGCTGAACATTCTGTTGAATCGGAGAGCACAAAAAGATATAAAAGAAGGACCTCTATTGAAAGACAATATGTTCTCTTTAGGGGCTAGGTTTTCTTCATTTTTAGGTTGCACATGAGAACAATGCTATCTTCAGGGATGGCAGAAGTTTGTTTTACCTAACATAAAAGCATGAAAGTGCTTTCATCTGCTTATAGAAAAACATTGTAGAAGCATTTAAACATCATGCAATCCCTGCATACTTAGATAGGATAGTCATGACTCAGTTCTTGCAAATGCTTTCATGTGCCACAATCCAAAGGTACTGCCACAAACTAAACAGTAAGAACTTGCTCAGGGCACAGTGACCTAAAATCCACTCTTAGTCTATTTTTCACTAAATAATTGCTTCAAAATGGATATCTAATAGATCATACTACACTCCAAATCCAAAGACAGACCTTCAGTGATTATATAGCTTAGTTGCTCCTTCCACCTCTCTGCAGCTGACCATGAAATTAAGAATAAACAAAATATAACCTTCTTTTGACTGTTAGGTTTGCATTTATACCCAAGGACCTCTCAAGTATATGTTTCTGGAGCTCAGCATAGCTCTTCAGTGGGTCTGAATTGCAGTGGTAACAATGAGATCAAGCCTAACCATGTATGAGCAGTCTGGAACTTCACTGTGGAATAAGCTACAATCATATACATGGATATTTCAATCCAAGGCCTTAATGCTGCAGTGAACTCTACTAGTCAGTCATCTACATCCATGTGAAGTTCACTGTGGGATCATTGACAGATCCAGTGTTCAACACAAAAAGAGCCACTGGCTTTGTTGCTTCCAGTCCAGCAACTGCCAACTCATCTTTTCCCCTGTTGTTCTCTCTCAGTCTCAGCCTTATGAACTTCTCTTTGTTTAAAACCAAAACCTGTTTTCTGTCTGTTTCTGTTATTGTATAGAAGTACGCTACAAAAAGCTGTTGTCAAGTAAAAATATTTCTGTCCATACAGCAAAAAAGGAGAAATCTTCTCCACATCTCATTCTTTGTCCACCACTCAGGAATTTCACTCTGAAGCTGACAGCTGAAGCCAAAGCATTGCTTTTTCGGTTTTCAAAGTATTAAATAGCAGCTTCCTTGCAAAAAAAAAGAAAAGATAATCTGAGAACAAAGCATTTTACACCTAGCTATGGTCATCTGGTTTTATCTAAAAATCAAGGGAAGTTTTGAACAGTTTCCTATTGAAATTTTTTAACAAATAGTTTAATTTGTCTTTCACAAAGAACAAAACACAAATGTGTCCTTTCTTGTAGGCAATGTTGGGACGAGGGAATGGAGAGTCATCAAGGAAGAAAGAGGAAGAGGAAGTTCAGAGCAGGCACAGAATGATCCCCATTGGAAGAAAGATTTATGAGTTCTACAATGCTCCCATTGTTAAATTTTGGTTTTACACAGTAAGAAATCTTTTCTGTTACATTACTAATATTTGGACAAATTCTGAAACTGAATTAAGGTCATCTTGTGTGTTTCATTGAAGTCTGCATATGCATGTATTGGAGGGCTTACCCATAAATGGCTTAATAAAAATATTTGGTGGAGGTCTGCTAGCACTAGGAGACCTTTCTAAGACTTTTAAAGACCACCATTTCATTCAGGAAATTAGTGGTTCAAATTTGAATGACTGTGTATGTTTTTCTTTACATAAAATGATAAGTGGCAGTTTGCTGTAGTCAGTGCTCCAAAGGAATTCCCTACAGGAGAATTCACAATAGGATTGCTCCCAATAGGAAGCCCAGTGAGAGGCTGGGCTAAATCGGGATATTGAATTATATAATAATAGATTAAAAAAATAAGGAGATAGAGCACGTCTTTCCTTGGAAGTTTTTTTCCCATTGTTGTGTTTTGACTAGTCTGCAGTGTGCCTCTCAGAGCAAATGAGACATGAGCAGCAGGTAATGTACATTTTTCAATTTTCAAATACATCAAATTGGTATAATCTCCCTGTGTTAGAAAGAAACAGACCTTATAGGTGGAGCAGGGGGAAAAAATGCAATGTATTTCAACTAAAGTAAAACAACTATCAAAAGGTTCTCAGGGTTTTCTCACAGCTAAATTAATACCTGCTATATTAAAGTTACTGTGTGGATAAAAAGTGTTTTGACAATTAGTCCTCAAGAGTAGATATTAATTATTCATTATCAAGCTGGAAGCAGGGATTGGAAAGGATTCCATTAGGCTTTCTCCTACATCACATACTGTCTGATAATTGCATTCAAAACTTGGATGATGGGGAAGAGATTAGTTACTAAATTTGCAAATTGCACTAGATTGTAGAAGGATAAGATAAAAAAGTAGAAATCATAGAAAGTAATCCTTTCAGACTCCTTGGCAGGAATATCCTATCCCAGTTCATCTTCTGCATCATGTGACAAGTATGGACTGGTTTGAAGAACACAAAAAAGAGCAAGAAAAATGTTTCAAGATGTCTGTAAAGCATCACTTGAGGGTAAAGATTTAAGGAACTGAGACTATTTTCTCTGTTTAAAAAAAAACTGCAGAAAGAATGTCATTGTTTTCAGATATGTGTAAGTAGCTCCAAATCCTTGCTGAACAGGCCAAGAAATAGCAGTGTGAATTGCAGCAAGATAGTTCTAGATAAAAAGTTAGGAAAGTTTCTAAATTCTAAAAGAAGTACTGTCATAAACAGTGTGAGACTTTCCATTACTGATTTCTAAACTATCTTATCAAAATGTATGTCCATTATGGTACACTGTAATTAATCCTGCCTCAGCACAATGGAATTGGCCAGATGATTTCAGGTGGTCCTTCCCAGTTATATTTTCCATCATTCTGCTGAAAGCACAGCAAATCACAAAGAATGGATCCTTCTGTAGATGACTTCTTGTAACAAAAATTGCCTTGCTGACATCCTGGCAATACATCTACAAATACTGAGAACTCACGTCAACCAAGTCTAAACTGTCATGGACACCTTATGCTAGCAAATAAGTACAGTTTGACAATTTGGAGTAACTACTTGCTAAACTCTGTGGCCAAAGAGTCTAGAAACTGTTCAGCAGCAGCCTAGTCCATTATCAATTGCAATATGTATTATGCACAACCAGAAAAGTCTTTACACTATAAATGGAAAGAAGCATCCTGGCTTTCGCTGTTCAGTTTTGAAATGGGAGACAGAGATCAATATTGCTTTTCCATTTAGACGTATTCCTACAGTTTTTATGTCCTGAGGGGGATCTCAATCAAGGTCATTTATTGAAGTTGGATCTTGGCTACACTGAACTTGAAGAACAGATTAAGGTGGATTCTAGCTGCAGTGTTTGACCAGTTGGGTATTTTAAGAAACTCCTGGAGACTAAAAGCAGAACAGATTTCAGAGGAGGGTTGAAATTGCACAGCCTGTCATATTTTTACAAGTCCACAGGCAAAAATATTAATCATAGATTTCAAAAGAAATCCTCCAAATTGTACATACCAAAGTCCAAACTCCAAGAAAAAGGAGTATACCTTTGACTATTGTATACCATTTAAAAGAATTTGGTTATTCTGTATCTACCTATCTTTATTACTATATAGCTACGTCCACCGTTATTCTAAAAATACACAAGACTGAGTTAAATTGAATGTTTGGGTAAATAACATTTTGGCTCAGCAGACACTCAGCTAAACAACTTTTTCTCAACCAAAAAAAAACATCTTTAGCCTTTCTTTCTGGACATGCAACAATTTCATGTGCCAGTTACTCTGTTCTGTTTTGTGGCTGCTGCATTTGAAACCATGACACAAGTTTGAGAAGAAGAAAATGGCCATTCCCTTTTAACAACTGCTACTACTAACATTAACTGAGGCGCTAGAAGGAAGTAACAGGCCCCATTTCTACCTCTTCTGAGGAGGAAAGCTGCAGGGAGAATTGAGCCCTGGGTAAGAGACATCTTCTAAACATCAAAAGAGCTTTGCCCTAAGTTTTGCATTTTGGGACCACTTCAGTTTATGATAATTTAATTATTGCAAACAGTCAGAGAAGAGGAGGGTGATCTCCCTCTTGAAGCACTATCTTGTTGATACAATTTCCAAGTTTATCCCTTACCATAATGGCTATTTTCTGTGTCAGTGGGACAGCACCCATAGGAGGTCAGAGAGCAACCCACTCTAGAAACTTCTTAGCAGGCACTCCTCTCCTTAGTTTCTTCAGGTACTGCCCTCAATGCTGGCAGTGGCAGCTCCTAACCCTTTATCAAGCCATGTAAAAGGTTCAGCTACTTGTGTGGTAGCACTTTCAAAGAATCTTGAGTACCAGCATGGGCAGATGTGCTGACGTTTGACCATAGTGTGAGATAAGGACAACCTCTTGAAAGGCAGGAGCAAGTTACAGGTCTGGGGAGGGAGAAGGAGGGTGTCACTCACTATTTGAAGGGCTTGTTTCTCGGGTTAAAGTAGAGAAGTTTCAGCATCATTTTATTCATAAATCAAGATTTTTCTTCTATTGCTATGCAAAACTTTTTTGCAACTTTAAGTAAGCTTGAATTAATAAAAAAATCCCAACGATACAGCAAACCCAAAGCCAAAACCCCCTAACATTTCAAAAGAAAACCAAGAAGCAAAATTACGTAGTTACTCCTAGAGTCTTGCAGTTTTTGTCACCTTTGTAACCTTAATGACCCTATTCCATACTGACTGCTAATGCTCTCCAAAGACTGCTGAATCAGACCAAATGAATAAGATTTCCTGACAATTAGTAATCAATAAGGTCTAAAAAGAGTAGTGTTAGGTAACAGTATCACCTATTCTTTTGCACTATATTACGTGGTATTTCAACTAGGGAGGTGTGTTCTGCCTGCCCAGACAGAGTTTCTGCTGACTCAGCTGTCACCCTATATGCTGACCTAAGTCAATATTGCTCTCTGTTTCCTTTAGGAGTGTTAAAGGAAGGCTAGTCTCTAGACCAGGGTGTTGCAATTCATCATCACCAACTGAAAGAAAAATGAGATCATTTCCGTCCCTGATTTATGCAGACAAGAAGTAGTGTTTCAGCTGGCTGGCTTCTCTGTACTGATAGTAATGGCCAATAGAAAGAATTCTCTTCAGTGTCATCAGCCAGCAACTGGAACAAAAGCCAGAACTCTGTGGCTTTTACACAGAGCAGAAGTGATGTTCTCTAACAAATACAGCAGCACTCTTAAGTTCTGTGATGTGCTGAACACTGAAATAATCCCACCCAGAAGTGTCAAGGTCCGCTCTGGTTGTTTCATCTTACATTTGACCTCAAGTGCACAGTAGTTGTGAGTAACACGCAGTTGAGAGAGAAAAAACTAATTCAAATACAGATGCACGGAATAAGCTTTTTGCCACGGTGGCTAAATATTCATGCATAGAACTGAGTCATCTTTTCTCTGATTTAAATTTGGCTTAAGATGCATTTTCTTGTAAGGCCGCTGTTTGAAAGGCAAAGTAGACAGGCAGTTGGATTCTGTGTCAACCACAGTCTTTTTTTTGACTGACTATTGAATTACGGTCAGCATGTAGAAAGAAAGAAAAAAGAAATTTAATACACAATTTCCACTGGATCAAAAATTAGGCTGGAAGACAGATATGTTAGAGAAGGAGAAGCAAAACATTCAGTCATAAAAACCTGCAAAAAAATGCAAGGCAAATGGATGCATGGCTATGCCTGGCTACTTGCTGCAGCAATGTAACTAGGAGTAGCAGTGTTTTGGGGAGGAAACACAGTATAGGTTAAGTCAGTCCTACGCTGGGTAGGAAGACATCTAACAACACTTAGCACCTTTTGTGCTTGAGGCAAGGATTGTACAAAAAGGACTTGGAATGCCAGAGTCAGCCTAGGCTAGGTGAACAGGGGAAAAAAACACAGAGGAGGGGTCTTAGAGGAGTAAAGGCTGTTAGAAGCAGGTGAGGGAGAAATCTTCACATAAGTAACTTAGTTTGGTAGTTGACATAGTGATATGAGAATTCCAGTCACTCTGGGATGATCCGGGGGGACTGTATTAATACAGATTGGTAGAGATAGGTGTAGCTGGAGGAAAGTATATTTGTGCATGTATTTTGCAGATCCCACACTGTATGGGATTTAATGTGAGCTTTATCAGAAAGCCTTGAACACTTACTGTTCTTTTTCCTATTTAATTCTGCTTACAGTGGAATCAGGAATATCAAATCATACCCAAGAAGCTGGCTCATTCATATAAATATACTGATTATTGATATTAATATTTTTCTTTACAGCTGGCATATATAGGCTACTTGATGCTGTTCAATTATATAGTGTTAGTGAAGATGGATCGCTGGCCATCTATACAGGAATGGATTGTCATCTCATACATTTTCACTCTGGGAATAGAGAAGATGAGAGAGGTAAAATGACCCCAGATAAGAAAGACAGACTGGAAAAATAAGCATGGGTTGTTTGATTTTTTATTTTAATATTTGGGTTTTTTTATTTTTCTCAGTATAATTTTTATGAATGGGCTTGTCATAAAATTGCCTTTTTTTTCAGAAAGGCAGCATTAAAAAGATCTATCTTCTTCCATTTTAAAAAGAACAATTTCTTTCTTTCTTTTTCTTTCTTTCTTTCTTTCTTTCTTTCTTTCTTTCTTTCTTTCTTTCTTTCTTTCTTTCTTTCTTTCTTTCTTTCTTTCTTTCTTTCTTTCTTTCTTTCTTTCTTTCTTTCTTTCTTTCTTTCTTTCTTTCTTTCTTTCTTTCTTTCTTTCTTTCTTTCTTTCTTTCTTTCTTTCTTTCTTTCTTTCTTTCTTTCTTTCTTTCTTTCTTTCTTTCTTTCTTTCTTTCTTTCTTTCTTTCTTTCTTTCTTTCTTTTCCTTCCTTCCTTCCTTCCTTCCTTCCTTCCTTCCTTCCTTCCTTCCCTCCTTCCTTCCTTCCTTCCTTCCTTCCTTCCCTTTTCCCAGAGAATTTATCTGTTCAAATTTCAATGTGAATGCACATTTAGTAGCACTCACAAGTACAAAGTGGTCTTCTGACAAATCTTAAAGCTCAGCTAAATTCCTTGAAATGTGGGCCAGAAACTGAAGTGTGTTTCAGGCAGAGGAAAAGTGAATATGGTATAACAGAATCTACACAGAAGCATGGTGATAGCACAAGAACCAAAGAGCCCATGTTCAAATATCCACCCCAGGCCAAACAGTTCATTCAAAATTTCAGCTGCTCTGTCTACCCAAATATCTCATGCAAAGGCTTTAAATAAAATGAGCCGTAATGGGAGCAAAAGTTAAGTCTGTAGGAAAAGCTAGGTCCACATGAATATTGCAGTGCATTCCTAATAGAATTTCTACCTTTTAATCTTCAAAACTTTCTCTCATTGTTTCAGCCATTAGCATGTGTCTCCCTAAAGATGCAAAAGCAGACACACAGAGACAGAGCATTTAAGGTGGCACTCAGTCTGTAGACACAGGGAAGTGGCTCTGCCATCCCTGACCCTCATGATCACTCCCACTTGCAGCTATTGCTGTGCCCTTTTCATTTGGCAAAATGCGCATTTATTTCAGAGTTACACCAGAGGCCTCATTCAGCCCTGATGTGAGTGGGTGCAAGTCCCATTGACCTCAGCTGAAACAGCACTTTTGTACCACTGGGCTGAATCAGTTACCAGCTATGTTTTTATTTTCTGAAGAACATGCTTTTGAGGACTAGACTAAAAATGGGCTTGTAACAGTCACTTAGGTTTCAAAGAGAAATTTCTGACACTCTACAGTGAACTATACATTATAAATAAAAAGAACAGAGAAAAACACACTACTTGAGTGGCCTATGAGTGTACTTCAGTAATCAAAAGAAAAGGAAAAACATTGGCAGTAGCCACATGAGGATTCTGCAACACTGATGGAGACAAACCACTTCTGGCTCAATAAGTAGTAGGTTGGAGACAGGAATTATGCACCACTTTTTGTCTAATCTTTCACCCCAATTGTCCTTTCCACAAAAGTTTCTCAAGAACATTTGTCACAATGGATTTCTAAGTAAATGTTGAAGATTGTTCACAGAAGATGAGCCATTAATTAATTCCAAAAATTAATTGCAAGAAAATTATAGGAATGGCATTCATCTTTTTAAGGAACTGTATAAATCTGCTCAAATTAGGCTAAATATAGAAAAGTTAAACCAACAGCTTGTTAACTCTCTAAACACTAGGAATTATTCACCAAGATCACTTGAGGAATAATTTTAGCAGTAGTTTGGGAAAACAATCAAGTTCACAAATGATCTTGCAAATAGAATGATGGTAAGTTTGTAAGCTAAGATAAATTATTTTGGTGAACTGTATGCTCACTGTGGAATTTAATTTCCCAAACCAAGTCCAAGTAGTAGCTGGTATCTCTCTGGATTAAATTCCTAATGCAAATCTTTATGGTTATTAATAATTTCTTGACCATTTGATACACATTTTAGAATAATTTTCTTTAAATCAACAGCTACTTTAAACGTGATTTTTCTGTTCCTATCTTTCTATATTCCACGACTGTAATTAAGGTTCATAAATTTGAGAAACAGAAATATATGCATACATTTCTTCTGATTTCATTAGGATTTTAGAATGAGTGAGCTCTTTGTCCTTTAAAGTGTCTTGCATACCAATACAAGCTAAGAATGGTTGAAATGGAATATTTCTCAAAAAAATCAGAGTACATGAGATATTTGTATGATAGGAGTCTATCACCTTTTCCTTTATCCTGTGTGGCATATATTTATCTCTTTATTATGGATTTCTTCAAGCTTAAATTAAGACAGTTTATCTCCTTTCCGCTTCATTTCTGTCCTGCAGATAGTGATGTCAGAGCCTGGGAAACTGTTACAAAAAGTAAAAGTTTGGCTACAGGAGTACTGGAATGTTACTGATCTCATAGCTATCCTCCTGTTCTCTGTTGGGATGGTGCTCCGTCTGCAAGATCTGCCACTCCGGAGTGATGGACGAGTGATATACTGTGTTAACATCATTTACTGGTATATACGGTTATTAGACATCTTTGGAGTAAACAAGTACTTGGGACCATATGTTATGATGATTGGGAAAATGGTAAGAGAATTTGGTGTACTCCTGTGCTTTACCAGCAGGTCCTTGACTCAGTGTCTTTTGACAATTATGTTTCTGCAGATGTACCTGTGGGGTTTTTTACACATTAGCATTTTCATGTAAGCTTTATTGAATGAAAACCTCAGCATAGACTCCCAGAAATGAGGATTAGACTCTCCCTGATGGTGTATTGTTTTTCTCTGAGATCTCTCTTCAACAGCAAAACTATCCATCCTACACCTCTAAGCTACATTTGCAGAAAGTACAAGGGAGGTTTGTAGGTTGCAAAGGAAGGTGGTTTTTAAGGTTAAAAAAAAAGTGTCTAGTTGTTTAGTACCTTGAGACTCTCAAAGACTGTGTTGCAGTAGTTGTGGTGTGTTCAAAACTATAAGAGTGATGATTAAGACTGTGACCTTTATATAATTTGCTCCATATCCATATGCTCTTCCATGTTTCATGTTCAGGTGTGTCCTTGTGAGATGCTAAGTCCATTTGCATAACTGCAGCCTCTGTCCCCTGGCCACATGGCATGTAGGCACCATGGCAGGAATATGAATAACTTATGTAATAGTAAATGCATACAGGAGGAATCAAGAGATACTTGTTGCCACATGTGTAACTTTTGACTTTTTGGCTTTTACATTTTATGTTTCAGTAAAAATGTAACATTAAAGCAGCATTTTGCTCATTTGAGTTAAAGAAAATGGTTGAATTTACAGATGCACACGCACTTATCCCTGATACTTGAATACCTGCACGTGTAGCTATTGTCTTCATGTTTTACATGCAGTTATCCAGCTTTTGTTGTGTAAATCGTGTGTTTCATGCATTTCAGTATGTAAGACTGTTTTTTTAAACAGAATAAATCCCCCTGAAGCTGTCAATCAGTTAAAAAAAAAAGTAAATTTATAAATGGAAATACTGCTGCTGTCTGATTGCTATATGGACAATAATCAGCAAGTCCAAACAGGTTGTCTGTTGTGTTTGTCTTACAATGGTCCTTAAAGAAAAGACCCAGCCACCTTCCTTCATCACCATCATAGGAAAAGGGAGCATATGTGAATGCATGAACTACAATATTTCCTTGATATTGAATTAATTACAACAAGCTGAGTGAACATGCAAATGAGTGAACTGAAATGCAAAAATATATACCCATTTAGGCTCCCTATCCAGTGGGTGAGGGAGCCCAGAGAATCATTGTCTTATCCCTTCTAAATACCAACTTTCACCTGCAAACCCACAGTGGTGTGTTTGACAAAGAAAGAACAGCTTAGTTAAAGAAAAGAAAGAAAAGAGAGAGATAGAGGGGAAATACAAAAGAAAGTGATTGTTGAATTGTTATTTCCTGCAAATGGGATTTTGAAGTGTCCTTCCTTCAAGGAAACCAATAGAATGTTTCCATGAAGTTTTGCAGAGCTCCAGAGTACAGAGGTGAAAACACTCAACAGTTCTTGTTGGAGGATGGCAGGACCAGAGAAAGGAACAAAGATCAAAGGACAAACACTGTCTTATCATGTTTCTTTTCTGCCACATTGAGACGACATCTCTCCATCAAGGGACTTGGGGCTTACACAATACAGTGTATAAAACTGCTAAAAAAACAACTACCCTTCTATGCTGTTTTATTTTCCTCACCTGCCATGCACAAGAAGTTTCAGAGCTGTCGTGCTAACACAGGCACTGTGAACACTAGTTCAGTAATAAAGAGTGGCCATAATAACAAACTTTTAGTAGCCAGTGTTATGGATGGCTGATAGGAGCCCAACTCCACCTAGAGTATAGAGAATGGTTTATATTTCTCCTGGGGTCAACAGAGAAAGGAAGTGGCTGAAATCAGTAAAGTAATACAATTTTCATTCCTTTGACATCCTCACATGTGCAACAAATCAAGCCTCATTCCATTTTCTGTGGAAAACAAATTCTGGAAAATCACTAGCCTCTGTAGGCTCACCACCCACTTAAAGGGTGTTGAATTTAGCTGCCGAAGTACTCTGAAGTTGTGCACAACTGTTAAAAGACAGAAGTTCTTCTATTTTGTGCCTTCCTGTTATTCGATTTTCGTACTTAATCCAACTTGCCATGCAAGTCTGATGCATCCCCTTTGCCCACACATGCAATGCCCTACTGGTTTGAGTTACACAAATTTGCCTCTCAAATGTATTTTTTTAATCAACTTATTCTCTTGTGCAATGTCCAGCTCATGCACAGACTTCCCTGGGAGTTGCACCTGCAGACTCTGTGCTGCAATGGACTCCCTGAAATATTTTTTTTAAAGTACATGTCAGTTTACCTCCTTGTGTTCTGTATTCTGAATGGTCATGCATGTCCTATTCAGTGCTATGAAGAGCATCAAGCTGGTTATACATATTTCAACAGAGTAAGCCCATCAGAGCTACTGAGGTCCTCAACAGACCACATTTAATGCCTGAGCTTTTTTCCTGACCTTCTATTGTGAGTAAATTTTAGACTCAGGAGGAGAAGTATGTCTCTTTCTATCTTTCCAATATTAAGGAACTTTCTCTTCACCTGACTCTACATTGCAGCCAACAAAATAGCCACAGTAAGTTTTACCTCTGGGCAATGTGAACAAATATGCAAGTAAAATTAAGCAAGGGGCAAGAATGGGCTTGAGTGGTTTAAAAGCAATGGGCTAAAGCAAGGTTGAAGATACAAGGAGGAAACGGAATGTTCAAGTTTATTATTATCTACTAATTTCAGGAATAAGATATGCTTGTTATAATGTGCTTTTCTGATCTCTGCACAGTGAGAGATTTACTTCCCTTTTCTTTGGGAATGAAATGAGATCACTGGAATGTCAAGGCAGTCAAAGGTATATTTGTTCTCTTAATGTGCAGAAATGTCTACATTTTCTTAGCTTTTCTGCAAATACAAAAAGGTAAATAGAGCCAGGTTATTTATAAAACTGTACCTTGTTTTATGACTTTTTAAAATAGGTGCCTAATGAGTTCTCCAGAATTTCTGAAATGGCCATTGACTTGTTAAAATAGCCAAAGGGCTTGATACACTGCCCATTAAAGTCGGTGGAAAATTGCCCATCTATTTCATTTTATTTCAGACAAGTTACTAAGGTTTTAAAAGATACCAAATTGAAGGATGGAAAAGCTAATATGCAGCTTGAATAAAGGCATTGAAGATTTCATTTCTTGCAACATGTCAAACCTGTGTGATCCCTGATCCAAAACACTTGAAGCATTTTAGAAATTGTCTTAAATTGCCACAAAATACTCAAGTTTATTTGTTTGCATGACACTTTAAAATAGGCATTATATTATATAATGTCATTTTATATACTTCTATATGAAACAGAATTTCATCAGGCAAGAAAGAAGGAATCAGGTTTCACACACAGATTCCTTCCCTAAATGCAATAAGAAATAAATACGATTATACAGGTTTCCAGTTTCAGGATGTTTTCTGAAGTACAATGATCTGGAATTCCTCCTCTTGAGGAAGATTTTCTTGAGATACTAATGCTCTGAGTAACATAGGGGTCTTGGTGGTTGACTTGACAGGTTTTTAATTCTTTAAAGCATTTCTTTTCCTCTCTCATGTCCCCAGGGATTTTTTTCTTCCTTTCATTTGTTTTGTATGGACCTCAAGACTTTTGTTTTCCCCTACTTTTTCTTTCACTTGTCCTCAGTTCCTTCTTTCCTACCTAAATCTCTGCTACCAGACCCCCACCCTGCAGGTGCCTTTCTCCTACAGCCTTTCTCTCAGTAAACATGAGAGTACCTTTTCCTCTTTGCTTCCCTGTAACTCTCTTTTCTATGTTACTTTCCTAGTGTTACTTTCACCTCAGGTCCCTCCGGTTGTGCTTTAAAATTGAAGAACCCCTGCAGCAGAGCCAGATCCATCTGCTGCAAGTGGGTCCTTCTTCCTCTAGGTCTTGTCACGCTCTTGAGTTGTGGCAGGTCCCCCATGGAGCAATAAGACCAATAGTTGAGGTGCAGGGTGGTTTCATGCCTCTCTTGCAAAGAAGGCTGACTTCAGCTGAGCCAGAAAATGCAGAGACTGAAAAAAGGATTAAAACTTACATGGTTTAGAGGAGTTTTAGGTGGTGTTTTGGCCAGAGACAAAAGTTATATCCAGAACTGTGAAAAACAGCTCTGTCATAACAAGCCTAAAGACTAAAGACCTGTAAGCCTGTAAGTGAAAATTTTTAAGGGATCTTACCAGAGACCTTATAAGACTCCCATTTTTTTTCATATTCACTTTGGGTTATAAAGCATCTCTTCTGTACCTGCTTGATGCTCACCGTTCTGCTCACTCAAGGGTCTTTTCTAGCACGGTGCCTCTTCTAATCTTTGCCCTCTGTTCAGCCGCTCCTAGGATTGCTATCCCACTTATTACAGGAACATTTTGAAGGAGTAGGTACTGTTTGTAAGCCCTAGTTAATCCTATGCATATGTTAATGAGGCCCTTGGCAGTGGAGAAGAAGAGAGTTGACTGTCTGTGTTATCTGCTTTTTCTTTTTTTTTTTTTTTTTAATATGGCATTTTTCAGACTCCCCCATCAAGGTGATTTTCAGTCCAACCAGTATCACAGCTTTCCTTTCTCACTGGTTACCACTACAGTGTCCCTTATGTTGCAGTAACAGGTCATTCTGCCACCCATTACTCCTTATGTTAGTTGCAGCTGCCTTTGCTCCAAGACAATGACTACCAGTGAATAAAATTATCCATGTCAGACCTTTTGCTTTGGTGCAGTTGTCACTCAGTGCCCAGACCAGGCTGCTGATTCCAGTGAATCTATATTCTTGTTGAGGCAACCGGTGTACCAGATGGTACCTTGTCTTTTCATGCTGATTCATAATATTCTAATTGTTCTTACAAGCAATACTAGGTACACCCAAGAACACAATAGTACTGCTTCACTTCTCTGAAAAAGAAATTTTTAATGTGTAAAAGTGAGAATGGCTTTTCAAAATTTGGCTTTGAATATTCTGTTTCCAAGATTCAGACTTTTTATTTGCTGCACATAGTAATAGAAATATGGACAAATAAGTTCCTCTAATTCTTGTCCCTTCTCTCTGTTTCTCTCTCTTATCATTACATTCAGATGATAGACATGATGTACTTTGTCATTATCATGTTGGTGGTTCTGATGAGCTTTGGTGTTGCAAGACAGGCTATTCTCTTCCCCAATGAGGAGCCTTCATGGAAGTTGGCGAAAAACATTTTTTACATGCCTTATTGGATGATCTACGGGGAAGTGTTCGCAGACCAAATAGACCGTAAGCAAGTTTATGATTCTCATATTTCAAAGTAAGGTATCCAGCTTGGATCGGATGATGTCCTATTAGATGATGTGTGTTTGTTCAATAAATGGCTCCAGATAGAGGAACTCCTTCAACATAGAGAATGGTCAAAAAAATATGTATTCAGCTAAAACTGGGGTGTCAGTTTCAGAACATGCTTCTGGCATCACTTTGCAGTCTTTTAACTGACAATCTGTAATGCTAAATTATCTTGCATATAAAGAATGTTTTAAATTACTCCTTTTTACCAGCTTGGTGAGAGGGTTTCCCTCCCAGGTGTCCACCATGAGTTTTGTGGTATACCTGGGACAGAAAAGGGCACTTCTTTCTTTTTCTCATAGTTTGATTTTAGACCTGAATACTTTTTATCTAACCTCATGCTGACCATCTTGTCTAATATTACTGGGTTAGAACTTTCAGCTCCTGTATTTCATGAGGATCTAATCCAATGAGGTTTTTTTCTCTGTTACCTACTTACTGCCACCAACTTTACATTCACCCATGTAATGCAGTTTTTTGGGAACAGATTAGAATATTGCTGTATTTATTTATTGGAAGACCAGACTGTGCTTACATCAGTTAAAACAGAACAAAAGCCAGTATTTAATATACTGTATCCTCAGGATTCATCTGGTGGGTGATCAGGAAAATGCTGAGTTTCTATTTAGATTAAACATCCTGGTGCCACTCAGTTCATTATACCAAAGGATGGAGCTAGTCATGAGAACTGATGTGATGGATGAATCACCAACAATGTATCTTTTGCAAACACTGTCATTCAGCTGATGTTCATCATTCCTACTTAAGTATATGTAAACCCTGGTAGCATTTGAAAGTCAGTATCTTTTCCTGTGACAGATGGTATCCATTAAAACTCTGTTCAGGATATTTCTTTTCATCCTATGTACCACCTTAGGAAAGGGTAGTGTGTTTCCAAATTTATTTGTTGATTGTTCAATGTTGAGCAAGTTTGAATGAAAAAAAGGTGTTGATTTATCCTGAGTAGATTAAAGGTGATAAATGCATATGTATCACTAATAATCCCCTCAGTTTAACATAGTTTTAGATGGGCAGATGTATACATGGCAGATATTTTAGCAGTTCCTTCTTCATTTTTTCTTCCTAGCTAGCACAGAGTCATTATTGTGGATACAGATGAAACCTCCTTTTCATGTTTACTTCTCCACTTTGTTTTTGGAGACAGAATGGTATTCAAAGAAGTAAATACCTAAAATCCTAACACTTCTCACTATGTTTCACTCTTTACCCAGTTCCCTCATTTTTATCCTTTTCCATTTTCTTTTACTTTTAAAAATTCATTTAATTGCAAAGGCATAATAGCTGGGGATATAAAACTTCATCTTGCTCTGAAAGCATTATAGAGCAATAAATGTTTGTACCATTAAGCTATGACTTCCTTCCACAAGCAGAATTCTGTCTGTCCCTCTACAAGTGGCCACTTACTGATACTGCACTAACTACCGCAGTGCCACAAACATGACAATTGTCTGAATAAAGTGTTCTCGTTATTTTTAATTTTTTTTAGTGAAGGGCTGAATATAGTGTATAACCTGGAAACTTAAGAAACTGAAGTGTCTTTGAAAGAAGCATAGTATTTAAGCAGATGCTTCATAAAAAAAGATGTAGAACTAGAATGGCCATCTTAAGCAATTCTTGAATGAAGTTTCTGAAAATTAAGAACATAAACAGTGCTGGGGAACAATCACAGACAGTAACATGGGTAAGACTGACTGCTGCTAACAATGGAGACCTCCTGAATTCCTGGTGCCCTTTCAGTTCCAGTTACCCACGAAGTCCACACCCCAGCTGTATAAGGGCTTGGGGAATAGGGAAAAAACACTGACTTTACCATCACAGTTCAATCATAATGGTCTTCCTCCAGGTCTTTGAGCAGGAAATTAGTAGAGTATGGTCTATAAACAAAGGAGGCACAATTGACATTTATTGACCATATTGTTCCTTCAACTATTACCTGAAATAGCCTTTGGAAATATGTAAAGATCTGGGATTATTCAAGGCACTTCATGTAAAAGTGCAGCCAGTCAAAATAACACTCCAGGTGTAACATCAGTAATGTCTGAAGCCACCTTGGGCTATTGCGTTTTGACTTGGTCCTAGAAAATCCCAGTAGGCAACTTTTGGGATTCAGATAAAGGCTTAGACTGGAGAACTGAAAGAAGACACTACGCTAATCAAATTTATGAATTCTTTAAAGGCTGGAAAATGAAACATTAATATATTTCAGGAAAGGACTAATAATGAGAGCTTGATAAATTGAAAAAACTTATCAAATCAATTTATGTAGTTGAATAAAGATATATTATTATCCACTGATAGCTGGGGGAGGAAAGAGGATCTGGGTCAGGGAACTGGTAATGATATGTACAACTGTAACTTTTAGGCTGATTTTCCTAAGCCATCTGAGCCTTGTGCTACCTGATGGGATGTATAGGGCAGCAGCCAACCACTTAGCTGCTTTAGTGAATGCCTGTCCAGAAGGAAATCCACAAACACAGTAAAATTTCTCCCTCTATTCACCTCACATTGGCACTATTGCTGCCAATTTTAGCCAAAAAAATCAAAGCACAGTTGTCACATGCAAAGAACTTTGTTTTCACCTTATGAAATTAACTGTCCCTCCACAATACTATGGATATGGAAATATGTAAGAAATACTGAAGGGGAAAGGTGAGTTTGCTTGGTTAAAAAAATGTAGATTGATGATACAAATGGCAACTCAAGAAATGATGGTCACCTGTAGAAAATGAGCATCAGACATCACTTTTTCCTATGTTCAAAAGGCAAAGCAACTGAGTACGCTGTTGGCCAATGTGGGTTTGGGTTTTTTGGTTTGAGCAGTTTTCCAGTTTTGCCTGGTGTCTCGCATGTCAGATTTCTATACGGCTTTCCTTACCAGCTGACAGTACCATCAGCTGGCTTAAAGTGCCATCTGGAATTTGAAGATCAGTCTAAGCTGTGTTTGTTTTTTAGAAAAAGCCTACTTAGTTTGTATTGGAGGAATATCAAGTAACCAGAATGCAGTTGTTTCAGAAGATGAGAGACAATTATACACAGGTTTTAATTATCCAGTGAATTTCAGAGGGAAGTCTAATTACTACAAAAGGATTTTAAAAAATTATTTAAATATCCTAGTCTGTTAGATTAATTTTTTAAAAGTTATTGAATGTTTCTTAGTATAAATGAAAGTTTTATACTAAACTCTTCATAATCTTACAGGTTACATGCTTTTCATGACTCCATAGGAGCTTCTGGTGAGGCCTGTCGTTTACATGGGTCATTCTGAAATTAGAAAAAACAGAATAGCTTTGCATAAAAGAGACTCATTCATACCTGTGGCAATATTTTAATGTTGTTAGACAAAGGCACTGGATAAAATTTGTGCACAGCCTACAAACCATTCTGAAGATCTCACTGGCCTGACTTGCAGCACTATTACCTATCCTGGCACCCCAAAAGTTGTATTTTGGGTTCCATTTGTTTGTATATTTTTAATGGGGGGAGGAGGAGGAAGAAAGCCCTAGAAAGAACAAGAAAATTAAAGGGATTTACTAGAAATTATGATTAAAATACCAGCAGATTGAAGAGACACTCAAAGTCATTTTTCATGTGGCCTAGGACAAGAAACAACAAGTAAGCTCAGGATACTGTAGTTAAAGCCTCTTTTTTGAAGTAATAGGTCACTATTCCACTGCCTGAAAGCTTCTACTGCTGAGTAGAGTGATTGTATGAGATTCAGAGTTCACAGATTACAATATTTTCTTCATCAGTAAAGAAGTGAGCAGCTCTAGGCAGCTCACTTACCATTTTTTTTTCACTATTTACCAGCCTGGCAAGCTGGTAAGTTGCTTTGACATTTGATTCAAAAATTGTAAAATGCTTTCACATCCTTCAGCTTGTTGATCAAAATTGGAAGGTGCCTATATACTCATAAACAGGGTGATGAAAGTTCATTTAAAATATCCAGACTTGAATTAAAAACAAGAAAAAAAAAAAGATATCTTGGTTTGTTAGTTAGCCACACTTATTGATTTCTATACTATTTAGAATAGTGGTCATAGGATAACATTGCACAGTTCCTTGTGATATCAAACAATTCAACTTGTATTGTAAAAGTGGTATTCATTTTTACATAAGAAGTTTTCATCAAAGGCAAAAAGCTATTCAGTGACAAAGGAGCAGTGCCCAAGTCATGACAGTAATTGCAGCAGGGAAACAAATTCTTCCTGAGCCCTGCCCTGCCTCTGTTTAGGCCAGAAACCCACAGAGGTATGGGTTATTGTTGTTTGCTTTGCAGCTGTTTTCTGGCCAGGAAAGAGCAAGGGTTAGGTAGCAAGAAAGGCCCATACATCTACATATGTCAGGATGAAATGTTAATGCATGTAACTTCAGTTAAAACTTCAACCACTTGCTATTTTCTACAGCCTAAGTTCAGGACATAATATCTATCATTTATCCAATGGCCAGTAGGTATTAGAGTGGTTGAGTTTTTCAGTTACCTGAGATTGTCATATTGCTATGCAAACAGAATTTGCTTCAGCACATCACTTCATTAGAAGTACTCGCAATTTTTGTTACAACAAGGCTATGAAGTGAAACAGATAAGTAAGTTTTCATAGATGTTAAATTTTGCTTTGAAAAAGTTTCTTATCACAGTATGTTACTGCATATACTACAAAAATTACTTCATTTCTCCAAAAATAAATAAAATGGTCAAACCATGTTGCACATGAAAGGCAGGTGCAAATTCCTGGGATGAGGCACAGCACACAGCAAGCGAAAACTTTGGCTTTGTGGAAAGTGTAGCATTGCCACAGTGGGAGCCCTGGGACCCCAAAACTAATCAAAAGGGAACCGAATGCACTGAAGCCCTCCCTGAGGGGGAGACTCAAGGAAAAGCACCTCAGGGCTGAGTAACCAGACTTGAGCTCATTAGAGAACCACGCATGTGCAATGTTCTGTTCTGCTCATTAGTGAACTTGTTGATACAGTGCAGGTGCCATTGTCTGAATTCTGAGATCCACAGCTGGCCATCACATTGGTGCCCTTGGAGGTGTACGTGCAGATGGAAGGTGGGGGGAAGTGAGCTACTCCAGGTTACCATAACGGGACAAGACATGCTTAGGACTCTGCATACTTGGATGGGGAGGCAAACTGTCCCAGGTTACTGTAACAAAGTCTTCTCACAACCTACGAACAAACTCTAATTTCTTAAATGTAAACAATATTGTCGTTATCTAAAAAGTATATCATTGAAACTTTTCAGCCTCATACCAGTCTTCTGTCCTTTTTCACAGAAATTTTTCTTTCATGTTTCCTGGGAGTAATTGTTTTAAACAAACTTTTAATTAATAGTAGAAGGGAAAATCCTGTAAAATTAATCTTACAGTTTAAAGATGAAAGAAGATGCTTAATGATGTGCAGTGGAATGCAGGTTTCTGAATTTTGGACACACATCACACATTTTCTCATGCAGCTGAAGATGTGAAGATTAAGCAGTGGTTTAATTCTTCTTAAAGTAAGGCAAGGGATTGGTGTTCCTGTTTTATTTAAAACATGTTCCAACAACAGAACATGCAAAAGAGAAAAACTGTTGCAAACTTTCAGAACAAGTTGAACATATATGGATGACCAGAATAGACTGTGGGAGCTTGTCTACATAGGAAGTCTAATATGGTCATCACTGTCTGTCATAAATGAACATAAATATTCTGTTATAGGCAAGTAGAGCTGATAAAGTATTTTTGTCCTGTTAGCTGTCAAAGCTGAATTTTTTTCCAGATTAAATTCTGAAGGTTTTTAGGAAAAAAACAGGTTAACAGAACTGTAACCAGACTTGGAGCTGAGTTTTTGATCTCACTGATTATAGTTGAAAATATACTTTCCACAAATTGCTCTCATTACTACAAAAGACATTATTTCTTCTGTTCTTCAGCACACAAAAGGACAATAGGTTTCATCAACTGTTACAGTGATTGTTCCATTACCAGTGAAATCATGACAGGGTTTGGTACTGTCTTCTGTTGTACTTCTCAGACCTGACTCTATATGTGAGCAAGTTAGTGTTTCCACACAGAAATGTAAATCTCACATTGAATGCTGATAGCAAGAGTTACTGAACATCCCAATGTCTGCTGGGTGAAGGCTGAGGGCACATAGCCCCACACTTGTAGTAGCTCACTGATGACATTTTGGGTGTCTAAATGAAACCATTGCTTGGACTAGCATGGGAAGGATGAAATTAAAATGATCTGTAAGGTGATGCTTAATGAGAAATAAATAATTGCATACTCTTAGCCTGTTCCAGTAATAAAATGTATTTTTGTAAATACAAAGGACTAGTGACACTGTAGACTCATAGAATCAACTAGGTTGGAAGAGACCTCAAAGATCTCTGAGTCCAACCCTACCATGGTTACTAGACCATGGCACTAAGTGCCACATCCAGTCTCATCTTCAAAACCTCCAGGGATGGTGAATCCACCACCTCCCTGGGCAGCCCATTCCAATGCCTGATTACTCTTTCCATAAAAAATTTCGTCCTAATATCTAACCTAAACCTCCCCTGGCAGAGCCTGAGTCTGTGCCCTCTTGTCCTACTGCTGGTTGCCTGGGACAAGAGACCAACCCCCACCTGACTCCAACCTCCTTTCAGGGAGTTGTAGAGGGTGATAAGGTCTCCCCTGAGACTTCTCCAGGCTAAACAACCCCAGCTCCCTCAGCCTCTCCTCATAGCACTTGTGCTTGAGTCCCTTCATCAGCCTCGTTGCTCTTCTCTGGACCTGCTCCAGCACTTCAATATCCTTCCTGAACTAAGGGGCCCAGAACTGCACACAGCATTCAAGGTGTGGCATCACCTGCACTGAGTACAGGGGCAGAATCACCTCCCTGGTCCTGTTGACCACTCTGTTCCTGATCCAGGCCAGGATGCCATTGGCCTTCTTGGCTGCTAGTAAAAAGCAGTGTTATTTGTATTTGTATTTGACTTTGCAATTCCTTCTTCTGCAAGTTGAATATTTTTGTAGAGTTCTTGTTTGAAGCTGATTTATCATGTAGTCTTCCATCCCATATGGCTATAATTTTACTGTATGTAATATCTATATGCAGGTCCAAAACCAAGTACCCAAATCACACATAACATTTTGTGATTGGCAGTACAAACATCCATAGCTGGATTTCATACTCTGTGAACCAAGTTCAGAAAGACTTTTTTGAGATGTAATATTTGGTACCAGAAATCATGGATTTGTTGTCATACAGTAAAATTTTACAAAACATACGGCATGGGTAAACTTTGTATTTCATCAAGTCAGTGGAAAACTCTAATTGCTATCAGTAGGAACTGAGCCAGCACTGAGCTTTGAAAATTCCTCACTTAAAATTCTTTTTGATGGGGATAGGGGAAGCTAGCTGTAGTGCTGTGCAAAATTTACTAAGAGGGTTTGTATGTGTAAGCTGCTGCTTTAATTACTTTATTGAAGATCTGATTACAGAGATACATAGGACCACTAGGACTGAAGCTAGAAAGACATAGACTGAACTCACACTTGGAAAAGCAGATCACCACAACAGCACATGAGGGCACATTAAAAACAAGCAGGAAAAACTATTTCATCATGTTTTATTTCCCCTTGCTTCAATTCTCCACCATTAATACTGAGAACGTTTTGATTCCAATGCATTCAGGGAAGAAACTGGTGGTATCTCTGCTGCCTACATGTCCCTTTACCTGGTACAGCAAAGACTTGATAATCTCTCCCACTGTTTCCAAGCATGCAGTCAGAAGTCCTTAATAGCAGAAGGTCATTATGAGCATGTCCTAGAAGGGCTTGGGCCAGTGCAGTGCACAGCAATAAATGTCTACTCTTTAATTTGCTTTCATGTACTTCCTTTTCCTTATTTATCACATTCCTCTCAACCAATCAAAAAAGACCAGGTTTCCAGCACTAAAGAAATAATATGCAAGCTTTTCTGCAGTATTCAATATTTTGATACTTCCATTTGCGTGGCCACTAATTACCATCAGGCATCTTATTCAGACCAGGCATGTTTCCTGCAATATCTAAGGGGAATATCTTGATATTCATGACAAGTAACACACAATAACAAGAACAGCAGACTGTAAAATCTGATAGCAAGCACAAACTTTTTGGGTGGAGCCTCAATGTCAGTGTTATTTGGAAACTATTGCCTTGGCAAGCAGGTCTTTATAAATATTTAAATATTTATGTAAAAAGCACTGAAAAAATAAGATTCATTCCTCTTCTGTCTTTTTTGTTGTTGTTGTTGTGTTTTGTTTTTGTTGTTTTTTTGTTTGTGGGGGTTATTTGTGTTTTGGGGGGGTTGGTTTGGGTTTTTTTGAGGGTTTTTTTGGATCTTTTTGGTTTCTTGTTTGTTTGTTTGGTTTGGTTTGTTTTGTTGGGTTTTTTGGGGTTTTTCTATTTTTGTTCCCAGCTCCTTGCGGTCAAAATGAAACCAGAGAAGATGGCAAAATAGTCCAGCTACCTCCCTGCAAGACAGGAGCATGGATCGTTCCTGCCATCATGGCCTGTTATCTCTTGGTAGCAAACATCCTTTTGGTGAACCTCCTTATTGCTGTTTTCAAGTGAGTGACACACTGCAAAGTATGGACTTGGGGAGATGCACATTGCTCTAAGGCTGTTGAGCTGAAGGCTTGGGCTGAGACACATTTTCAGAAGATGTGAGAGTGAAAAGATGTGAGAGTGAGAGGGAAATAGACAGTAGCTTGTCTCCAGGGTGTGAAGGAAATGCCAAGTTCATCACATTGTGCTCTTTTCCAAGGGCAGACACCTGATGGGAATCAGGGCAAATAAGCCAAAAAACTGTAAAGTTCAGTTATGGCATCATTCACTCATGATATGGAAAACAAGAATAAAAATACTTCCCCATCTTGATGGGTTGCTGTAAGTCTCAGTGGTTGTACAGAGTAGACATACACAGTAGTAAGATTCTGTGGAAAGGCTGATTGTGCTTTGCTGAAACACAAACCTAATATTTTGTTCTGTTTCCTGTTTTTGTGACAAGGAAACATTTGGCAATATTAGTAAAATGTATCTAGATGTCATATCACCTTAGTCAAAAGTACCCCAAACCATTTCAATCTGATGTTATTTTCTTCTTCTTGCCTTGTAGCAATACATTTTTTGAAGTCAAATCTATATCCAACCAAGTATGGAAGTTTCAAAGATACCAGCTAATCATGACATTCCACGAAAGACCTGTTCTCCCACCACCTTTGATAATTTTCAGCCATATGACAATGATATTCCAACACCTCTGCTGCAGATGGCGGAAACATGAAAGTGACCCAGATGAGAGAGACTATGGATTAAGTAAGCCTTACGCAATTCACAAAGTGGACTTTCCAATGCCCTTGGTAATGTCTAGTGTTTGATGTGAACGAAATTGAAGTCCAACACCGTGATAACCTTTCCAGCAAAAGAACAACTTTTAACTGCAAAAATCTTACTTGAACCAGTTCGTTTTGCCTGTATTGCCAAACCCTTCATTCTCTCTGGAGCATTAACAAGGCTATGTTTTTCTGGAATTTCTGGGGGGTTGTTCCCCGCTTCGTTCCTTCAATGCAAAGCAGTTTGTTTTGCTGTTATTAGAGTCTGTTATTGCTGGAATTATTCTTACAGTCCATGACACTTCCAGATCTCAGTTATATTTGTGAAAATACAGAGACCATCCCTACTTTTCCAGCAAGCAGCACATCCTTCTCCCCAGCACACTTTTTGCCTAGATAACCTGAGAGATGGTGAAAAGCAGTTATTTTGTGTACACATGGTCTCTCCTTGACACTGACAAACTGGAGGAGTAGTTCCTCCACATGCTTTATTATGAACTCCCATAACCATGATGGAAAACACTTCCTCTCCTCTTATCTATCTTATTCTTCAAAGGAGATCTCCACCTCCCACAGTGTACATGCCAGGGGCCCAGAGCTATGGGATGCACATCTCTTGCCAGCATAAGCCCATGCCACAGGCCACCTCTCTGTGAGGAGGAAGCAGGAGCCATGTGTATCACTGGAGTTACAAGTGCAACCAGACTTCTCTCCTCCCACTCCCATCACACTGCTACCTGCAGATATCTGTTCTTGCCATATCAAACAGACTTCCTGTACCCTCAGACTCCTTTCCTAGTAGTCTGCTAATCTCATTGTATTTATATTAGGTTACAGGTGGGCTTTGGATTCCACCATCTCTCTAGGACCTGACCAGCAGCTGTGTTTAGATCTCATGCAATCAAAATATATTCATATTTGCTGAGCATTTGCCTGCTTAAGTGTTTCTATCTCCAGAATCATATATAACTGCAGCCACTAATTTGATAATTAGCATCATCTATCTGCTTTCATATCAAAATGCCACATAAATTTGAAGCCTGCTTTTGAGTCAGTCCATGAATTTCATGATAAGAAGAATGTAGTTAATTTCACATCTTAATATTTACCACATTCACATTTCTGTATTGTTTCCGCAGAACTTTTCATAACTGAGGATGAATTGAAAAAGGTTCATGATTTTGAAGAGCAGTGCATAGAAGAATATTTCAGAGAAAAGGATGACAGATTCAATTCCTCCAATGATGAAAGAATCCGTGTCACTTCAGAAAGGTGCACTTTTTTTGTTTGTTCTCATAAGCTGATCTGGAAATGTGTTGCCATTCTCACTCTTCCTTTCTTTTGCTTGCAAAAGGAAACATTTTAGGTACTTTAGTCTTAACTAAAAAGTAGAGTGATAAAAGGTAGTGAATTTAAATATTTGGTTTTGGTTTTGGTTTTTCTGTTAAAGCAAATGTGTTCCAGGTTGGATGGGACTCTGAGGAACCTGGTCTGGTGGAAGGTGTCCTTGCTCACGGCAGAAGGGTTGGAACTAAATGATCTTTAAGTTTCATTCCAACCCGAACCGTTCTATGATAAATTTTGAAAAAGTGAATCTTTTAACCACCTGTATTAGAATATAACTGATATAGTGAGAGATATCAATTATTCTTGCATTTCAGTTCTTAAGGCAGAACTTTAGGGCAGTGGTTAGAACACAAATGGAGAGTAACTGAGAGCTCCTCAATGAAAATTGTGGCTTTAACACTCACCTGCTAGCCATTCAGGTGAGGAGCAAGCCTTGTTTCAGGATGACCTTTCTAGGTAAGCTAGTTTCATGGACACCAACAGCAATCTTGACATGGATTTTAAGTGGAATGAGACATTTCACCTACAGTAATGCACAGGGGACAAAGGCAACACTTTAAGTTAGTGGCATTTGCCAGTCTTAAAATTCATCAGTCCTAAAAGTTCCTAAGTCTGTTGATCTGCTGTGATGCTTACATGCCTTCATAGGATACTGCTGAGCTCACATTCTGAGGACAGAGTTTATGTTTGATTCATAGCACTGCTGCCAGTAAATATTTTAGGGCAATGTCCTGTCAGATATTTGTAACATTTCCACACCACTGAATAGTCCACTAGCTGAAATCTCCACTTTAATTTGAATAACACAGGTCATGTGACTTGTCATTTTCATCAGTTACACAGATACTACACTCTTCTCCTTATACATAATCTTCTAGCACTGCCCCTGATTCAGCTATGCCTAAACTATGTTTTTTTGTAGGCAAGGAAACATGCTGTTAATTTGGTTTTGAAATAAATCTATCCCAGAACAGGATTGGCAGATATAATATCCTTTAATCATCTTCATTACTGAAAACCAAAGCAATCCTACAGCACATATTTTAGAAAAGGAGATTAGAAAAGAGGTTGGTAAGGCATGGAATGGCTTCCTTATAAAGGATGGCCAATTAATCCAGCTTTACTGGGTCTGGAAGAGACAAACGAGGGATGAAAATATAGAGGTCTATAAAATTATGAGAGCAAGAAGACCATGAGTAGAAATCAATTATTTGCTGTCACTCCCAGCACAAGGTATAGAGAAGCAACAGAATAATTTAGTATGATCCCAGGTTCAAAATAAACAAAATCATGTGATTTTTTTCATGCAGTAAGTAGTGGAAAAGAACAAATTCTTGAAGGCTAATGAGGTCTAAAAGAAGCTGATGGTATCAGCTCAAAGTCTACATGCATTCAAACAGTGACTAGACCAGCTTATGGAAGAGAAATCCAATAAGGAGTGCTAGATGCATAGAGATCATATTGAGCCCATAAAGTTCCTGAGCAGAAAATATTTAGAGACTGGTGGGAGGAAGAATTACATATACTTCAAAGTAAGATAATGGGCTAAATTGGTCTGTTGTCCAACTGAGTACCTTTTTTTCTCGTGTTCTGATAGTCCAGTGGACACAGAACTGACCTGAAAATCATAGATGCAGGTTCAGATCTCTAGGCATAGCATTCCTTCTGGCGGCCAAGGAAGGAAGAGACATGTAACTCTGTAAATAAGAAGTAATCCATCTGGGTCCTCTCCTACATCATGTGAGTGCCCTAAGTCATTGAAAATTAATACATAGCAGTCTGCCTTTGCACTCTGTTCTGGCCCTGTTTTATAGGAAAAGAGCCCTTATCTCTAGTTAAATGCAAGGCTTAAAGCACCTTGTTCCAGAGTATGAATCCTAAATGAAGACAAGCACCTGAGCCCCAGAGAGAAATAGTTCTTTAAAAAATCCATTTACCTTAACCAATAGTGTGATGTGGAAACTTGTGTCCCAGTTCTGTAAGAGAGGTACAGGGAGCAGCCCCATGAGGTACAGAGTTCACTCCCAGACACAAGCACACTACTAGGACTTGAAGCAATTAAATACCAGCTGAATGCAATTCTTATCTCATATTAGCTTCGACGAATACTTTTAAGATGTTTGAAGAATCAGGGCTATCTACATATCTTACATAACACACACTTTAAAAGCTGAATACCTGGGTCTGTTATTTTGCCTGCAGTTATAGCCAGGGATGTATCAATTGAAGTGCTCTTGACCTAAAACACTAAACTTATTTTTTCTAACCTGTGGAACATTCAAATACTTTATAGTTTCTGTATAGAGTTATCTTTGCACAAGTAACAAGATGTAGAGCAAACAAAACAGAGAAGATGCAAGACTACAGTTTCTCTTCCAACATCCAGCAATTATCCTGTGAAAGTGGACCAAGTATAATACCTATCTTGTAGACATGAGATAGCAGTTTAATCATCTGTCAGATTGGCTCAGCTTTACATGATGTAAAATTGAACCAGAAAACCCTGCAAATGTGAACAAAGTTCCCCCTAAAGACCTTCCATTTGCAGGAAGCTGAGCATGCCATTAGACTCAAGGAGAAGGAAGGGCTGGGAGAAGTTTTGTGTGACATACCCACACCTGGACCACTCCCTGCCTTCTCTCTCCTCTACACATCTCTGATAATGCTCATCCCTTGCATGAGGATGGATTTATCAGAGTGCACCAGGTCCTGCTAAGAGTTAAAATACCTTTACCACAGGTACAAAGCTCAGTATACCTGGAAGAGGGAATAGGGGGCTAGAACTGGAAAGGAAATGAGAGATGGGAACAGTCTTGCTTTGAGTGTAGGTGTGTCCCAGAGGCAGGTTAGAAGCTCAGGAAAACAAAGCAAGAGATCCTGTTTCTTGATGCATTGACCTGGGAGTAAATGAATGATTTTAGCTATGCAGTTAGTGGCTATGCTGGGGCAGGACCACAGCCTCTTGTCTGACTTACGTACAATAAGCTGCTTTTTATGCTCCCATTTTGGAATAGTCCACCCTGGCATCCTGTGGGGCTCATCTCAGTTCAGGGGGATCACTTTACTTCTCTTGTAACAAGGGACACCACAGATGTGCCCAGATTTGATGTCACCACACAGAATTTCTGCTTTACCTCCTTTTCGCGTTCAGAAATTAAAAGCATAAAACATTAGATGTTCGTCTTTCCCTGACCCCTAACTTAAAGGAGTAGCCCACTAGCTAGGATCTCACACAGGCCCATGGAAGTAGCATCAAGTTAGCGATACACATCAGAGGAAGTGATTGTCTAAGTGGAAAAATACAAAGCAGTATGCCCTTGAATGCATTTATCAAGGCAGGCAAATCTTGGTGAATCTCCTGGAGATCTGTGAGGAAAGCAGAGCTGGACAAATTCACTTCATTGCAGCAGAAGAAACCTTTCCTGGAGAGTCTTCCTTTCTATTCACTGTATCACATCTTGACCAGCACAGAGTGATGCATAACATGATAAAAGACAGCACTATTTTTCTTGATCTGGCATGAAGCCACTGAAACAATCTCTTTAGTAAGCATTTTTCCATGTGGACAGGCCTCAACTCTTTCAAAACCCCATGCAAAACCTCTTGTTGATTTCAAAAGGAGCAGGGTCACATCATAACAGTATTTTAAAAGCAGATAAGCTGGTCAGAGTAGATACAATTACATCATCTTTGGTACTCTGTGGTATCCATTAGTACAACAGTTTATAGTCCGCAGTGCAATTACATTTACAAGATTTGTGTGGAGGAAGGCATAGCTCTATTACTTGATTTCAGAGCTGGCAGGCTGAAGTGCACAGAAATAGCTTATAGATTTGTGTTGGTAAAAGGGACTGAGCCTACCAGATCCACCCACACCTGCACAATCACAGCAGGAAAGGTCTGTGAAGCTGGTGACACTTCTTTGCAGTCATAAAGAGTTAACCAGTTTGAGGCTCCAGTGGGAACACTGCCAGGACAATGAGCTTCATTAGCCTGCAGAAACCACTGCACTTGGGAAAACTGGCTGGCCGCTTGCAGCAAGAATGCTTTACCAAAAGATGTCAGACAAAGTACCAATACCATATTACAGGCTTGGAAACTGCTGTCTATGTTTTATTTCAATGAAACCATTCCACAGTCACCTATCACAAGCTTGGTTGTATCCCTGTAAGTGACTTTCAGTGTTTACAGTCTTTGTGGCAGCTGAAAAGGATTTCAAGAGTATAAATGATGCCTTAAAATGGACATAGGTTCACAAAGGGACTTGTGAATCAATTAAGAGGTCTACTTCTGAAAAGAGTGCATTACTCCTATTAAATAATTATTTTAATTAAATTATCGATGAACTGATGTGCAAAGTTTAAAAATAAATAAACCAAAATTAGTCCCAGCAAAAGTCATCATCTCCCAAACCAAAATGAAAAAGGCTTGTCACAGGTAATATAAAATCTTTGCCAGGTTCTGGGTTCTGACTTCTTTTTTTTTTACTTTTTACTGAATATTGTCCTCATCTAGTCCATGGGTGTTTCATCATTAGAAATTTTTGAGCTTCAGCAGCACATCTCAATGCATGTTTTCATGTAGCCTCCTCTTGTTCTGTTCACATTATGTTAGGGTGGCTTGGCACCTTATAACATGTTGAATAAATCTTGGTGTAAGGAAAAGCACAGGCTCAAAGGGAGGCATCATACGTGGGAATTGTGAGATTTGCTAAAAGGTTTATTCTCTCTCCTGAATACACATGGAGAAGAAAATCTAAGGCAAAACTTGAACAGTCTAATTTTGAAAATAGTGGTTTCATTCAGAACTCTTCCTGAAGGAAATACAGGTCTAGGTGTCTTTTCACCAAGTGCAAAATCCCCTAAGAATATGAAAAAATAGAAAAATTCTCTTATTAAAATATTTTAAGGACCAGGTTATGCCTGTATTTCTCCAGAACATATCCTCGTATGTCCACAGGGTTTAGCTGATGTGATTTTATCATATTTTCAGTAGGTTTACTCCCAGAGCTTGGTGCTGTTCTATGCAATGAATGATTGCAGAACTGAACATCAGATTAATTCAAGAGAATATCACTAAAAGAAGAAATATTTGTTTAAAATTCTGGGAGTGGCCATATGTGATATATATAAGAAAGCGTGATTAAATTCAGCTGATAGCTTTGGGTTTGGAGGAGATCATCTCTCAAGCTTTCTTTTTCTGAATAAAATTATATAGTCAGGGCTCATCCAGTGTAAACACGTATGAATTTCTCAGTTATCTATGCACATCTCTGGTTACCCCTGGTTTCTGAACTGAGTCTGCACTATCCTTATCTTGTTAAGTTTCTATATAAATTTCCACTACTATCGATGCAGTCGCATCTGTGATCACTTCCATAGCAACCAACAGACCACATAATTCAAAAGTCCCTCCTCATCTTTTCCACCAGTACCACCATGCTTACACTCTGTGCCTCTGTCAGTAGTTAATAGATCATATTCAGTGAGGACACGAGGTTCCTTATGTCTGACAGCCCTAAAATTGTGATATTTTATCTGTTCATTATCTTGGAGCAGTTGTTATAGAATCTGAGTGTGGTGTGGTGGACTCAATTATAAGCTGATAAATATTTCAAAAGTATAATTGTTTTTATAAAAGTTCAGAAATGTAATAACATGGGGGGAAATTCAACTGCTTCCCATATAAACTGCTTTCACTATGGAATTATATCATGTGCTTGCAATAACATTAATCTGTTTTGTTGGAGAAGTTGGTAGACCCAGAAACAGACCAGTGCTTAAATGATGATGAGTAGAATGAGATTCCTTGAAGCAGCCAGTTCATTTCTTAGCCATAATTACTCAATCATTCATCTATTGAAGTCTGATGATAGCAATACAATTACTGCTGCACATTTGATTTGCTCTGCTTGTGCTTTCAAAATTCACAAAAAAGTCCATGGAATGGACAGCAAGTAGGGAGCCCATTCCTTGTGACTGATGCCTGTCCTCTCTTATGCAGGCAGATTGCTGTTGCTCATTACTACAAGGTAGTCAGACCTTGCCTGTAGATATTCCAAGCATTAGTTAACAAGGCATTAATCGTGGTCAATATTCATTCACTGCTAAAATCTGGTTTCCTTCTGAGCAAGTAAGAGTGGTTATGGTGTTGTCAGTTCCAGATTACTTGTCCTGCTGGAAAATTAACTAGCAGTAGTAGAAGATGATGTTTGCCTCATCAAAAATCCTGGCAACAATTTGTATGCCTATTAACAGACAGTGTGCCTATTAACATTTGAGTACAAATTGCACTAACAGGCAGAGAGTAAGAGATTTGTGAAAAGTGTGGAAATCATGCCATTTGGTATTTTTTGCTTCTCTGTTCATTTTCCAGTGTCTACAGCAATGGGGAAAACCAGAATTGTAACTTATCAGACAAAGATAACTAGATAAATCTGTTGCTTTTAATACTGCTTTGGCAGATAGTGAAAGTCCCTGGTTTGCCATAGGGACTACAACCAGAGGAAATAATTATGAGAATAAATTTCATATGTGCTCCAGGAAATTTCGTTGTCTAAAATTATGGGACTCCATATAAATCCTTCAGTATAGACATTTTAGAAGCTAGAAAATTGAAATGGTTGAAAGCCATAATTTCAATCCCTAAACTATTAACACAGACTATCCATAACACAAGCACAATAATGGAGCAATCTGAGTGTGTGTAACCTCTTGTGGGCTGTATATGGCTTGATCGGTGTTCTCCTCCTTGCAGTTTTAATGCACACTTAACTTGATATTATCTATATTCAATAAAATAGCTGATGCATTTTTTTGTAAATCTGACCTAAAACTTAATCAGAGAACAAAGAAACTGTCTCCTTAGGTCCACATAACGCTAGCTGGAGTAAATCTGGGCCAAACATCAGAAAAACAATTGAATGTTACCCACCTTCTACGGCATATCACCCTCTTTTCTTACTTTGTTTAGTTCTGCAGGTCATTTAGAACTGCAGTGGTCCTGCCTGTGGCGCGACTGGGGACAGTGCCATGTGGCATGTGCTCTGAGCATTATTCACTCTTACCTACATAATTGGAAGTGTTGGCAGCAGAAAACTAGTAGCTCATAGTAACATTTTTGTAACAAGTCCTGTGCCTGGGATGAGGCACACCTAAACCCCCTCGATCTTATGCAGCAGATGCCCCTGGTTTAACTACTGGAGCAGTTTCCTGAGTGGGTAGAATTTGTTTGTGAAACCTCTTTTAGCAGGGTTTTGGAGCAGATAAGGTGGTGTAGATTGCCTTTGGATTTTGACACCTATTTGTTCCCAACTGCTTTGGTGACCTGTTAGCTGAACATCACCACTTTGTAGAAATTAACCCGTTTAACTCCTCCCTGTTTTAAGGGTAGAGAATATGGCCATGCGACTGGAAGAAGTAAATGAGCGAGAGCACTGCATGAAGGCCTCTCTGCAGACTGTTGACATCAGGCTTGCTCAGCTGGAAGATATGATGGGACGAATGGTTACTGCCTTAGAAAAAATGGCAGGCATAGAGAGATGTGAGACAACCAAGATACGATCCAGGACCTCATCTGACTGCACTGATGCAGCCTACATTGTGAGACAGAGTAGCTTCAACAGTCAGGAAGGAAACACTTACAAGCTTCAAGAGAGCATAGATCCCACAGGAGAGGAGTCCATGTCCCCAACATCTCCTACGACTGCACCCCGCATGCGAAGCCACTCTTTCTATGCAACAAATATGAAGGACAAGTGTGGGTTGGAAAAGTTAGAAAGCATTTTTAAGGAAAGATCTCCAAGCCTGCATCGGGCGATCAGTTCCCACTCAATAACAAAAGAAGGAAAGATTCCGTTAGCCCCTACCAGCACTTTGTCAATCGCCCCAGATTCCAGAAGACCTTCATCTTGTATAGACATCTATGTTTCTGCCATGGATGAGATGCATTCTGACACAGAACCTCTTGAAAGCTCCATAAATATTCTTGGTCCTGGAGATACATCTCTGCAGGCTCACATAGCCTCTTCCCTTTTAGCTAGTAGTGCATATATTAGCAGTACACCTGGCGAAAAAATTTCTGGCAGGAGTATTGATTATGAGGAAACCTCTGGAATAGATACAAGAGCCTTTTCGTCAGACTATTCACAAATCACAGATTGCCAAATCCCCTGGGATTCAGACCCTCCTTTGTATCACACTTTAGAACGATCTAAAAGCAGTCGTTACCTGGCTACAACTCCATTTATTCTGGAGGAAACACCAATTGTGAAATCTCACAGCTTTATGTTCTCTCCATCTCGAAGTTACTTCAGCAGCATTGGTGTCCCAGTCAAGACAGCAGAGTACACAAGTATTACAGATTGCATAGACACCAGGTGTGTAAGCGCTCCCCAGGCCATTGCAGAGAGGGCCAGTTTCCCTGGAAGTCTTGGGGTCAAAGTGGAAGACTTGGGATGCTGCCACCCAGAGAGAGAAGCTGAACTGAGCCACCCAAGCTCTGATCATGAGGATATTGAGGCCAAAGACAAGAAGGGGATCCCCTTATCTCCTCAAGACAGCAATACTACAAGAACTCTGCCCAACAGCATCCCACTTCCAAAAATAGAGCGAGCCAACAGCTACTCTGCAGAGGAGTCCAACATGTTGTATGCACCGCACACACGGAAAAGCTACTCTATCAGTGACAAACTTGACAGACAGCGAAATGCAACAGGCCTGCGGAACCCCTTTGAGAGGACTAAGTCCTCAAGGCCAGAGAGCAGAGGGGACAACCTGTCCATGAGGAGACTGTCAAGAACAGGAGCCTTCTGCAGCTTTGAAAGCAAGCACAGCTAGGCCCAGACAAAGCTCACCAGCAATCAGCAGGTCATCAGCTCTCCAGACAATTTTTCTTAGCAGAATTAATTAAAAAGCCTCATCTCGCCCCGTGTCAACTCCAGTTGGCATTAGCCACCACTCAAGGGAGCACATTGTCAACTTCAGCATTGCCGACTGAGGTACTGCATCTAGACCAAGTTGACATTTGCACATAAGGAAAAAGGGAGGAAAGAAAGCTTTACAAAGACTTAAGTAAACAAGTGGAATAACAAGCCCCCTTTATGAAGTCAGAAGAAATAAATTAATAGGTTCAGGTATCTGCCTTTTATTAGAAGGCATCCTAAAATCTTTGACGATTATTCAAGTTTTTAAGATGCAGGAATTAACTGACAAAAAGAGATGTACAAATTAGGTGTTCTAAAATTTAATCACAACTTCTTTTTCATCTATTTCACCATTGTGATGACTGATGAAAAGCATTTGTTATTTCTGTAGGAACCGGCAGCAAACAACCCTCGTCTCCCAAGTCCCTTGCATCTCACACTTGTGGAAATGAAGAAAGATGAACATGATAACAACCATAATGTTCACTTATTCCTTTTGTATCAACTTCTAGTGCCACAAAAAGTTTATATTTTCAAGAGCAGAAAGGGAAATAAAATGCCTTTTGTACTGCAACTTGAATGGAAGAAGAATTTATGTTAAAATATCAGGTGATTTCCTGTATAAAGCAGGCATTCTAGATTCTAGCACAGCTGAGCAAGCTCAGGATGAATGTAATTAAGGGGAATAGTATATATTTATTTTTTTACCACATTTGTCATCAATATGTTATCTCACTCAATCAAAGGATGTGATGGAACTGTAAGAACAGGGTGATCAGAGCACAGTAATATTGTCAGGTTCTCATTATTCCGTTTAATTCTGTACACAAATTGGGGAGATTTTTCCACCACGCTGCTGCCAGATTCTTGCTGTTCCATTTGAGCTGCCGAATTTTCACATCATTCCCTCACCTAAAAATGCACTTCTTTTTTTTTCCCGTGTGGACATAGCTGTATTTGAACATTTCAAAGGATACAAGATTTATCAAGCAGTCTGAATCCAGATTCATGTAATTAGACTGAAGTTGCTTAAAGGAAAATGTTTTTGGCAGAGGACTGGAAAACACTAAAAGTTCTATATGCTTCTAAGGTAAGTTAAAGAACAAAAGTGAAACTGCAAGTGTCTGTAAACAGCAAAAGCCATTAGTTGTGACTAGGCTTCCACCATTCAGCAGCATATCACACAATGAGCATTTTTAGTAGGAGAAAGTATGTCTGCACATTAGGGCAGTTATGAGCTTTGGTCAAAGACAGTTGTAACTCCACTGACCCCACCCACATTCCAAGGGTCCACAAGGTCAACCAGAGTTTCAAACTTCTTGTGGTTTTCTCACCAAGTCCTAACCCTGGGAAACTCTGAGCACCGTCTGAGACCTATGTGTGAAAGGCAACAAATCCAGACAGAAAAATGTTCATCAGCCTCAAGGAAAGTGGCAAAGAAGATGGAAACACTTAGTTACCAAGTCACTGCGTTGGAAAGTCCAGGAAACAAAGAAATGCAACAAGGGGATGTTACGAACAATGTTTTTCATACTTCCTGCACCAATGCATTTCTTGCTTTCTTCTATTTGATCAAGCTTTCAATGAGCTAAACTCCATCAAGATACCGTGTTTATGCAATTGCCTTGCAGCCCATGTGCAGCGTTACAGTCACATGGCAGTACTGAGAAAGGTGAGAAGCCTTTCTGTGCATTATGAAGCATGCTTGTGCAGGCTGATAGTTGAACAATAGCAAAATGCCCAAGGGCAAAGGAACTTGTATTTCACAAAATGCTTCAAATGTGCCAACTTCTGTTAGCAGCCTTTTCTTAAGGCATCTCCAAATCTATCTATTCTTGGTGAGTAGAGGGGGATATTCTCACTTTGTTTCCTTTGTTACTTTTATGAATGTCTGCTAAAACTGTTGTGGACTCTTTCATCTTCACCATATTACTGACCTACTCTAGGGGAACTTCAGATTCATTAGAAATTCCTCAACAGCGCGTAGTGAATTAGTTCAAGGCATAGGGCTCTCCTCTGGGGTAGATTTCATTGCTTACTTTGTCAGGGTAAAGGAATTTGCCAAACCCAGAAGCTGTATAAATGTTTAGAATACAGCACCTTATTGATCTGGAGCACACATTCCAGGTAAAATGAAACAGGACACTTTATTTACCTCTTAAAATTTGCCATTATATATAAAGTGTAAATTCATATGTTAAAAGTGTGATTGCAAATGTCAGAACACTACGTTTCCTGAATGTTTCCCATTTATTCTACAAAGTGGTATCTATAATATATATTATGATGGATGTTAGATTATTTTATTTTCACATGGTTTTTACACATTGCATCAAACTGCTCCTTTTTGAATTTGATGGTAAAACACCTGCTCCTTGCAATGGGCCCAGACTTCCCATTCCCAATATTATGATGATTTAGTGAGAGCAGAAGTCTTACCATCCATCATCATGTAGCTATAGCATGTGCCATATAACATATTCTGTATCAAAAGATAGTTTATGAAATAAACACATATATATGTATCTCCCATATATAAACCAGTATAGTTGTGACATGTGGTCATATTAGTGAACGTTACAGGACAGTTTTAATATCACATTATATGGTCCTGTTTGTAAATCTGTAACATTCAATAAAATAGCACATGTTGCATCAAACATTATGTTCCACTATCCAATTATTAGCTTACATATGGAGGATGCATTTCTGGTCACAGTGTGTATGTACGTTTGGTATGTTTCGCACATTTCTTTGTATAGCTCCACTTAAATGTTTGTATGAGCTGATGTATAAACCTCTAATGAGCCACTGTGGGCTGTGACAGATGAGTTGTGATAGTGTGAAAGATGAATTGGCATGTTATGCAAAAGATTATAAGATAAATGAATTTTAATAATATTTTGAAACTCAACTGAGCTTAGCTGTTTGTTTACATGTGCTAGTTGACTGGGGAAGCAGTGTGCAGTATTTTTTAAATATTTTCCTATAGTAATCCATTCTGTTGTTTCCAGATCAAGTGATTCTATTCTATAGTTGGGGTATACACTTGTACTAGGTATTGTATTATAGCACATTATTCTTTCACAATAATAGTGTGATATGACTGAAGTAGTTTCTCTTTCTTACAGTCCAGTCTTTTTTTGTGTCAAAGAAAATGCATGCATTGTTCCATGAGTTTCTTTGGACTACTAGGAGACTTAACATTTTGCTATTGCCTGCCTGTAAAGATGAATCCAGTTAGAAATGAATTCCAGCTTTTGGATGTTTACATTATTTCCATTTCATTTGATCTTTCGCAAAGTAAGTGATTTTTTAATTATTTTTAAATGACAGTTGTATTTTATGAAATTTGAATACTCAACACAAAATGCGAACCTACAGCAGCACTCAGACATTTGGCTCTCTCTTTTTTTGGAAGATATAAGGTGCTACATTATTGTTCTTAGCACAAATGCCAGTTAACAAACGGCAGTGAGGGGATAATTTGAAACTATATTGAAACACCAAAACATCCATTCATCTACATAGGGAAACCCCTCTGGGTTCCAGACATAGATTGCTTTTTTTTTAATTTTCCATTTATAGATTTTTTTGGTAAAAAAAGAAAACAACAAAACTGATTTGTATCTTTTGTGGAATAGATAGTCTTTTGTCAGGGGATAAATATCTTAGCTAGGTGTATTTTTTGTATGAGAAGAAAATGATTTATTTCTTAGAAGCCGTCAGGGCATGGAAAATGCAACTACATGAATAATTGCTCAACAGAAAATGTGCTGATAGCAGCACACAGCCTTAGTTCAGTGACTGCAGTTGGCACCAACAAGTATCTGTCCTGAGAGCAGAAGTTATCAAAGGTGTTAGAGTGAGCCAGTGAAACAAAATGCTCTGTAAACTTATGGTGCAGAAACAAGCATAAATGTCTTGTTGTCTTGCTCAGGTTAAACACTTAAGAGCATATGATAGTCACCAGAAAAGAAAATGTGAGCTGATCATTCCTAGATTTCCCTCAGAATGCTTAAGTAGTTGTGATGTCTCTCCCCTGCTTAAAAATGATAATATATTTGCATTTTTGCACAAATATGCATAGTTGTTTCAACAAAGGCCACATTTTCAGTTGTGTTGAAAGATACAAGGTATAGATCACCTTATTCAAAAGAAATGAGCAGGGTTCCTAGCATGAATTTTTCCTTCAGCCACCTCATACATGTCCAAACTGGGACAAAATAAAGCATTGGTATTCTCTGCTTACCTAGTGAAACCCTTCATTACTATAGATGGTATTCACAGTCCTTGCCAGACATTGGCATAAAAGCAGTGGTATTGAATGCAGACAGACTTTGTTTGTGCACCCCAGTTAGAGTTACCCTTCTTTATAGCCAGTCATACAATGAACACTTTAGGTCATACAGGCTTCTCTTCTCCAAGATTGACTACAATTATGATCCTACTGCTTCTGGTGCAAATCTGCAGAAAATCCACTGATTTCAATGGTATAGCCTGACTTTTTTCAGAAGATGGATTACACAAAATCATCTTCAAGTGGGAAGTCTAATGATGGAGCCATTGAGCCAGACTGATTGTGAAACAGTCTCAGACCTTTTCACTTTTGCTGCATACTTTCAGATCTGTCATAGAGCCACACAATACTTATTTCAAAAAGCTATTAGTAAAAAATGTTTGTTTATCAAATTGCTGCTGTTTCTGCTGCAGGGAAGTGATAACTCTTGTTTATTTTAGTATTTGGGAGGGAGAGGAAAGGGACAGAAGAGGGAACTGGCTGTGAAATACAGTTTTTGCCTGCAAAAAAGTAAATTGTATTAAAGTTATATCCTTTTTCCACCACTGCAGTTACTGTACATGAGGAGAGTCTACTTGCTGCTATTGCTGTCTGGAACAGTGTTTGCAATATAC